CCTTCTCATGGCATACCTTCTCATGGCATGCCTTCTCATGGCATACCTTCTCATGGCATACCTTCTCATGGCATACCTTCTCATGGCATACCTTCTCATGGCAATTTCAACAGGATATAGAAATCTCTCCGCAGAGATCATATTATCCTTAGTTTCAGTTATTCCCAATGGGCCGGCAATGTTAATAAAATAGTCATTAAAGATCTAAATTTTTAATATCTAAGTTTTCGTAATAATCAAATTTGGTTTGTCGCAAGATTTTACACATAGTATCCATATGCGCTGCGGTTATATGCGATTCTTACATTTGTTACGCAGCTTTGATCGAAGCATTGTCCTTTTTGTTAGGGTTTTTGTCATGATGACGAGTGCGTGTTCACCTCTGGTTTTGAATACTCAGTTTCCCCATTATTCATGTTACCAAGACTTTCCATGAGCGCCTGTTGGATCTATTTTCATCGAATTTGCGATAATCTCCTTTTAGGGGCCCCTTTAAACGAAACTACTTTTCAATATAGTAACAATCGTTGAAAAAAGTCCGATACTCCCGTTTCAACTGTACATGAGTTTTAAAAGAGGAAGATTTATCTGTAAGAATCAAATCAATGCATCTGGGATTATCTGACTTAAAACATGTAGGAACATTGCTTCCGTATCAAAATCGCCTAGAATTTGCAAAATTTTCATAGCGACTGCCGTAGTGGTCTATTTTTTCTTGTGCAAATTATTCTCTAAGCTTCCATATTCAATATCGCCAGGATATTTAGAATCTGAGACGAGACACGCAGTAATACCCAATCTAACTTGAAAAGTGGTTTCGTTAAAAAGGGCCCCTATAATAAAACAGGCCCGAAAGTGCAGTGGGAAAAGGCAATTGGGATAGATTTTCCTTTAAGAAGCCTTTTTCAAAATCACAAAACTTTTAACAAGCATTCGTCGTCGAATTTTCCCGCGAATTTCATTTCTTCGCTTTGCTGTAGTGCAAAAAAATCGAACAGAGCACTACGACGACATATCGTCCACGTTTCGTAATAATTTTTCAATTATTCAAAATTTCGTCTATCAACTTGATGTTTGGTTTAAACCTACTCTAATGAGTGTCTAGATTAGTATGCCTCAGGGGGCCTAATTCAAGGATTTACAGGATTTTGGGTCAGAACATTATGATAAAAATGATTTCGAACAAAGTAGTCCATGTGCTCGGAGAAGCCCAGTGGTGAAGCCCAGTATGCTTGGGCACAAAGTTAGTTATCCATAATCTCTATCTACGAAGTTCCTTATTTTTATTTTGTTGTTTGTTCTCAGAGTGTTTTGGTGTTCCCTATCTCATTCAAAGAGATGCATCCCTGCGGTAAATATTTCGTCAACATCTCTGCTAGGCAACATCTCAAGGGCGTGGAACAGATTAGTGATTGGTTGTGACAGCAGAAAGGGCAGTCTATTGGTCAAAAAGTATCCATGCCAACCGGAAGTCGAGATTTGAGGGTATAAATGAACAGAATCGCGCTGTGTTAGCAGTTCGAGGCACAGAATAGAGATATTCTGTGTGGGAACATTGGTGCTAGGGCAGGTTTGGGCTGAGAACGCTGTGATCCTGTTCCAAGATGAAGGCCGTGTTGCTGTTTTGTGTCCTTCTTGGACTTGTCATTTCAATCAACGGTAGGTGCAGCCTTGCTTGCTATTATTTAGTAAAGAAACTTGCGAAGAAAGATCCATGCACTCGTTTAGAATTATTAAGATAGAGTTTTTGAACGATTTGATTTGAACGATCGTTGGTGGGGCTGTTGGATGATGCCTGTAAATTAAATGTATAGCTGCTATACAGTAAATAACCCCTGGCTACACTGGTAAGTGAATGGAATTTTGGTGAAAAGCGCAATGTTTTTTGTTAATTTTTCAAAGCAAAGACGCCACGCCAAACGCTCTATAATCGGTGTTCTTACTCGCTATGTTACGTGCCGTATAAACCTTGAGGCTGAAGTTTATTCCCAGACAATCATTGCTCAAAATACCCTATTTAAAGAAAGAATAGAAAGACTAGGTCAAATACTTTGCTTTGTAATACAAAGTTAAAACATCGTTTGAATATGCAGCTTTTTATCAAAGTGTTCACGTAAGAAAATTCCTACTTAGCAAATGCCATTGTGATCTTTTTAAGTAACAATCTTCAATAGTTAAGCTTACACCGGGATTAAATTAATCTTTTAGGTGCAACTGTCGAGGAAAACACCAACGAGGTGGCGGAGAAGAGTGTTCCGGAAGAGGTTGATGTAGAGGAAGATTCTGCAAGCGAAGAAGAGGAAGACCCAGAAGCTGAAGAGCCCTCTGAAGACGAGGAAAGTGATGCTACAGAACCGGAAGAGGACACTGAATTATCTGAAGGTACTATAGACTTTTAACTTTTGGTCTATAGTTCTTTGGCACTTTTGTTGAAAACGACAAGATATGCAAATAGATATGCAAATATTCAATTCGATGTAAGGCTGGGCCGATCTTTGAGACGTTAAAATCGTGATTCCGGAATTGTCTTGGGCCCTATTGAATCAAGCATATTTGAATCCACAGAGGAGCGTGTTAGCTACACGCTCAATTGACCCCAGATTCTCCTTGGGGCGTTTCTTTCCTTAACTTTTTAGGTCTTTCTTGATATTTGTAAATGGTCTCGTTTAGACAATTCTGAGCAAATAGCAAAAGACGGCTCTGTATCAGATCCTTCATGGCGCAGACGTTCCTGGCGCAGACGTTCTTGGCGCAGACGTTCCTGGCGCAGACGATCCTGGCGCAGACGTTCTTGGCGCAGACGGTCCTGGCGCAGACGTTCCTGGCGCAGACGGTCCTGGCGCAGACGGTCCTGGCGCAGACGTAGCGGAAAATAAGCAAAGAACTGGTTGAGAAACTTTTTTGCTCCCTAATTATGTTTTCCATTTTTAATTTTTGCATATTTGAAGCTGTTGACCAAGGTCAATAGAGAAAGATATTGTGTTGTTTGTTTTGTTCTCCTACTTTCTGAAAGGGTCTGCCATCTATTTAACTCTGGACATATGAGAAAGAGTTTGCGGAAAGTTGCGATAAATGTCGTTAGTTAATCATAGATTTATAAACCAGAAAAGAATAACAGTATCCGTTAGCAAAGTTGAAATCTTTCATTGACCGTATATCACCCGATTTTGAACACATCTAGCTGATTTTGTATAGTTAGAAGTATTTTATGTCGTTTTTCTGATTTTGTGGTCAAAACTAGAAAATTCTAAAAATAGATTTTTGATGACGCCACACCAGTATTCTATTGTGAGTGATATTTTCGACTTTTCAGGTATCTAAAAATTTCGAATCGGATACAATTTGTATAAAAATCAAAGGTGAAAATGCCATTTATACAAGGAACTCAGTAAATTCACTGCGTTTGTAAAAGCGGTTCAAAGAGGCTCGATTGCCTTCGCTTCTCGGAGCTAGGCCCTGCCCCATCTAGCCACCATTGTGAAAAGAGAGTTTTGCTTACACTGCTTTACTTGTTGGTTTTGGCTCAATGTATATATTATAATCTAAAGGTTTATCTATATGAAAAATTAGGTCTGATTTAGATATTTTATAAAACGAAAAATAAGGGGATATGGTCCTCTGGATTCCTCTTTGGCGCAGGCCTTTAGAGCAACCCTTCCGCGTTCGAGCATGTTTGATTCAGTTGTGTTCTCCAAAAGTCTGTTCTTCAAAAAAAAGCTACCATGAAGGTCTCAAATGAAAAAATCCCAGGGGGCTCGAGCACCCAAGTTCGTGTGTCGTTGTTCTAGTTCTTGTGCTTGCAACGAAAACAAAGATAAGTTCGAAACATCAAAAAGCTGACCTGAAGATTTAGGCTTTCATTTTGAAATAATTCTAATCATTGGAAAATTAGGATATCAGAATCAGACCCATTTTATTCCTCAAGTTTAATTAAAAACTTTTATCCATTACGTTCGTTGATAGCCAAAACTCTATCTATGAAACCAGATCCCTCTTAATAAGATTCTAGGTCCTTAATTAATTAGAGGTTTTTAGCGTTACTAAAAAAATGTGTATATATTTTCAAGAGGGTACCAAAATGTATGCTACTTTTGTTGGCTGTGACGCTTACAACCGAAATTATTCGTTAAAAAAAGTTGCTTGTGTAATATAGGTACTTATTTCATTTTAGGTCAGTCTTGCGTTTATGCTTATATTTGTTCATGCTTCTATTTGATTAGGATATATTAGCGTGTCGCGCTTTAGTTTTTCATGTTTTCCGGTATAGTAATATTCTACATGCCCTTTTGCTCTACAAAGTTCCCCCGCTTATCCTAATATATCTAACACCTCCAACTAGTTCATTTACGTATTGCACGATAGATACCGACAATAACACCGGCAATTATTGATATTAGTTTGCTAATGCTGTTATATAAAGTAGAGTACGGAGAAACAGAGTTAGTTAGTTAGTTAGTGAGAGAGAAGCGTGGTGCTTGCGAAAGGCCACTGCTATCAAACATGTAGACACTAACTCACACACACACAAAGAACGGTCATGGATAGAAAGGCTAAGAGAGGGCTGATGGCATTCAACCCGAGTGGCTTGTGAAAGCACTCGAGGTTTCGTTTCATATAAATATATAATTTAATGGCGTAACAGTGCTTGTGAAAGGCTGTTTAGTACCTAAGTTTCGATATTGTGTAAAAGTACGTCTTAGCTTTGGATGGAACAAAAGGAATTGATTTTGTGTGTCAAAACGTGTCGTTTATTCGCTCGGTCAATCGCTCAAACAACGAATGGTGTCAGAAGTTTTACAAATGTATATACCAGCAGCAAATTTTACACTTGTTTGGAAACCCCCAGCGCCAGACCACAAAGGGTAATGGGAATAGATCAATTAAAGTACAGGATGATTCAATCTGGTTTCTGTCTAAAGCTTTTCCTCGGGACTAGCAAGGTTATTTTTGATTGTGTTGTTTTCCAGGCTTCATGGTTGGGTCCAATTATTATTGGTTTTTCTAGATAAACGATAGAGAGTTTCCGATCGCCGACGCAGCAACGACGGGGACGTTTGCGAGGCCTGGAAATAGCGCGGCCGTTCCGTCCTCCTGCACATGTGAAAAATGAGATTCCGATTTTACGACGGGGACGTAGAATGGCGCCAAAATCAAACAAGCTAAAAATGGACGACATGTTGTTTTTATTGCACGATGAGGGCGATATCGACGGCAAAGAGACGCCTCTTCTGTTAGAGCACCATAATAAAAATTTGCACGATGGCCTTCCGTATTTTAAGTGAACGTTGGAAACACTACATCAGCTTTTTTTCTATCTGCAGCAACCAGTTCTTGAAGAATACTTCAGATAAGGAAAACACCTTTTCTTACAAGCTATTAAACAGCTTTTTAAAAGCTTTCAAAGCCACCAAGTTTAGATTTATCTTATCACACACGATAGAAAACTCCAAGTATGTGTATTGTTGATAACCTTCTGAAAGTTCTAGAAAAATTAATAGCAGCCATCCTGATCTGCAATTTACTGGTTCTCATATAACAAAGAGTGTATATCGAAAATGGAGCATGATATTACCAGAAATGTACCAATAAACATACAATTTCTTTATGCAATATATTCAAATGTTATAATTTCCAAATGTAACCAGCATGCAGGATTTTGCTTGCATGTTTCATGAGAGAATATCTAAATACAAATGCTTGGTGAAAGAAAATGATACTTCAGGTACTATAAAAATTTCTGTTTCATATTAATTTTTGGTCTGTTAAATGTATACTGTAAATTTTACAGTAGTTCAAGGGCAGCCACAAAACAAGCCCTCAATAAGAAATGTTTAAAGTCCAAAAACTTAACAGAAGCTGCCAGCCTGTAGTGGGATTCCAGTAGAGGGGACAGGCTAAACTTGTAAGAAAGGGAACAAATTCTTATCCACATCACGATCTTTGCAATAAGTGCATCATAAAAGGCAGTTTGTATTACAAAAAGTTGTCAACATGTTTCACATATAAAATATGTTTTTACCTAACTATAGACACTGTGTCCTTACTTGAAAAGTAGGAATGTTCAGATATCAATTATATCTGGCTATAGGGAGATTTATTTACAGAAGAACTACAGTTGAATCCAAGTCAAGAGTTCAAGGCAAACAAGCCAATAACTTTTGTCCTCTATAAAGATATATCTGAGACTTAAAAAATGCAATGTTTCATATAAGTAAGAATATCTCAGTCTGCAGAGAATGGCACTTTTAAAGAGATCTCCCATGTGAACAGCAACTTCAAGCAAGGTATCTGTGCAAACCCCTCTTCACCAATTATATGGCAGTAAACTTGGTGCTGTGCAGTTCTTATTTCAGCATTCAGCACTACACTGACATTTAGTTTTGATCCAAAAAGTGAATTACATTCATTTATTATCAGAAACAAAGGTCAACATTGAGAACACACTGAAGTCTCTGAATGCAGCAATTTTTAGCACTCATTGTTTCTTAAATTTCCAAATTTTCATGTCATTTATTCATACATTGGGGTCCTTTATTATTCAGGCTGCAGAAAAGGTTTAACACATAAACAGGAGATAGGAGACTGATGAAGTTTGCTGTTCAGTTACAGTTCATTTCATTTTTAAAAATCCATACATACTACAAATTTTTTAAAATACAGCACCAGGTTATAAAAGATGAAATAAATTACATACAATGAGAGAAATAGAATGCTGTGAAGAATTTGTGGAATTTTTTAAAAATCTCAGTTATTTAGGTCGGACATTTTCATGCCAACACTTAGATGTTTCAAGCCCTCCATTTTTATAAATTCTTTTCCTTTGAATACTATAAAATTATTTAAATTTGTGATTATAAAATTCTTGTGATTAAAAAACTTTAGTCAAATTTTTACTTTGTTTCTTACAAATAAAAGGTTTAAAAAAGCTATAACTTATAAAACCTACAAACAATGTTCATCAAGTCAGTTGCAACTATTTTTAATGCATTGTGTCTAAGAATTAGGGCCGGCTTTCCATGTCTTTTGGTGTCACTTTAGTTGCCATTTTCCTTCAGAAATAGGTCGAATTGATAAGGCTGAAATACAAAAGAAAACTTGGTAAAATGGCCTATTTTTAGTAAAACGAACGAACAAGGAAGTCTTTTCCAGGTACTGAAACAGCTATTTACTTTCACTCTTTGCTGCCTTTCATGCAAATTGCTGTGTAATAGAGTAATGGCGCCTTTGCTGAATCCATATGCTGTGAGTTTTGCTATGAGGAGTTCATGATCTATTGAGGAGTTCAATTTGCTCTTTTCTCATACGCCCATAGACTTCTGATTTTGGAGGTACAATAGTTTTTGGCCGATAATTTCCTTTCTGCAATGAATTTAGCTTCATGGCCGTAACATTACCCTCCTTTAATTCAGAAAGAAACATTTTGTTATTAATGGATTGGTTGAAGACTTTTTGTAATGTATCAAAGAAAATATCAGAATATTCCTTTAGAATCCTATTTGGACGCCTTATTTTGTTTTAGTTCTTGTAGTTTTTGGAAAACGTTTTCAGTTATAACCAGTTGGAACTGAAATTTTGAGGGTGGTCGTACACTCTCCGCTATGAGCTTACAGAAAGATAAGACTGTACTTCCTGATGGCATACCTTCTGATGGCATACCTTCTGATGGCATACCTTCTCATGGCATACCTTCTGATGGCATACCTTCTGATGGCATACCTTCTCATGGCATACCTTCTGATGGCATACCTTCTGATGGCATACCTTCTCATGGCATACCTTCTGATGGCATACCTTCTGATGGCATACCTTCTCATCGCATACCTTCTCATGGCATACCTTCTCATGGCATGATGGCATACCTTCTCATGGCATACCTTCTCATGGCATACCTTCTCATGGCATACCTTCTCATGGCATACCTTCTCATGGCATACCTTCTCATGGCACACCTTCTCATGGCATACCTTCTGATGGCATACCTTCTCATGGCATACCTTCTGATGGCATACCTTCTCATGGCATACCTTCTCATGGCATACCTTCTGATGGCATACCTTCTCATGGCATACCTTCTGATGGCAATTTCAACAGGATATAGAAATCTCTCCGCATAGATCATATTATCCTTAGTTTCAGTTATTCCCAATGGGCCGGCAATGTTAATAAAATAGTCATTAAAGATCTAAGTCTTTAATATCTAAGTTTTCGTAATAATCAAATTTGGTTTGTCGCAAGATTTTACACATAAGTACCAGTGGCGTAGCGTCCGGGTATTCAAGGTATTCAGTGAATACCCTGAGATTTCTCAGAAAAAATATTAATACGACGTATAATTGTAATAACTAAAAAATGTTTTGGGGCCATTGATTCTGGTTGAAATCGTTACCTTCGATATTCTACATTTTGTACTAGTACAAAATATCACGAAATTCATGGAAACAATAACGCTGCGAAGCATAGAGAAGCTGGGAGAACTTTGAAGCTAATTTTGAAGATTGAGTTACTTCATGTTGAATGGAGATAGGTCATGAATACGCAGTGAATACCCTAGACGGTTCTTTAACCAATCAAAATGCTCCTTTCCATGAATAATATTTGCCGTTAATCAGCTAAAACAATGGTCTTGTACGCTAAGAAATATGCAGCGTACAGCCTCAAAGTTGGTTCAAAATAGTCTCGTTTTGAGATCGATATAAACAGTTAATGGACGTCGGAGCGGTTGGAGTGGTGGATCTTCATCGAAAACAGTAAACATGACTTCATTCAAAGCTATTGCAATGTCCGTATTACTGTTTAATAATCATTCTCTCATTTGACCCCTAATCTTAACCTACCAACAGCAAAGTGGAAAGGATAGGTAGGCTTCTACATAATGCTACACTGACTTAGATCTGTGCCTCTTGAAATTGCTTGTCAATCAGGGATGCTTCTGTTTGTATTATGTGATAGAATTAAAGTAAATGCAGATAGCCCTGGATAATTTCCTTATAGTTGTCTGGTACATTCACCTATATTGTTTGCCTATTTTGTTTGCATTATTCGAGCCCATTTATTTGCTTTATTGTGCAGTCTCGTCTCATTACCTTCGATTCTTTCAATCAATAACTTGTATTGAAAATATCACGATTAAGCCATGAAAAAAAGTCTAGACTGCATCCACTGCATACCACAAAATATTTATAACTCGTGTAATGCCCTATGTGAATAACTTTTGAAAGCCCTTTTGTATTAAGGTATCAAGAGAAGGTGTTTACAGTTACTTCCTCTTTACATCAGTGCAAATTTTAGAGGATTCAACAACAACTATTGGGACATATTTCGACTAGCAAAATTTTACTGACTTTCAATGATACATTTTGATTTGAATTACATTTGATGAAATGGTTAGTGGTATTTTGATGCAATGAATGAGTTCGAACAGTATATTAGCGTTGAGTTTTTTAGCAAAGTATCGTTTTCATCATAGTAATGCCCTGATAGTGCAGTACTTGCCAACCGAACCAGAAAGAAAATTAGATAAATTGTCAATAGCTAGTCCCTTTAATCTTCCTATTATCCCTCCTATTTCCATCAAGCCCCATCAAGCCACACCCTGCCCCACCCTTTTGTTTAATAGAGCATACCCAGTTGAAAAAGTCACGCTACGCCACTGATAAGTACCCATATGCGCTGCGGTTATATGCGATTCTTACATTTGTTACGCAGCTTTGATCGAAGCATTGTCCTTTTTGTTAGGGTTTTTGTCATGATGACGAGTGCGTGTTCACCTCTGGTTTTGAATACTCAGTTTCCCCATTATTCATGTTACCAAGACTTTCCATGAGCGCCTGTTGGATCTATTTTCATCGAATTTGCGATAATCTCCTTTTAGGGGCCCCTTTAAACGAAACTACTTTTCAATATAGTAACAATCGTTGAAAAAAGTCCGATACTCCCGTTTCAACTGTACATGAGTTTTAAAAGAGGAAGATTTATCTGTAAGAATCAAATCAATGCATCTGGGATTATCTGACTTAAAACATGTAGGAACATTGCTTCCGTATCAAAATCGCCTAGAATTTGCAAAATTTTCATAGCGACTGCCGTAGTGGTCTATTTTTTCTTGTGCAAATTATTCTCTAAGCTTCCATATTCAATATCGCCAGGATATTTAGAATCTGAGACGAGACACGCAGTAATACCCAATCTAACTTGAAAAGTGGTTTCGTTAAAAAGGGCCCCTATAATAAAACAGGCCCGAAAGTGCAGTGGGAAAAGGCAATTGGGATAGATTTTCCTTTAAGAAGCCTTTTTCAAAATCACAAAACTTTTAACAAGCTCCCTTTGAATAAGCCCCACCTTTACATGCCAATTTTTTCGCTTTAATAAGCTTCTGTTGGGCCATAATTGAAGTGCAAAAGAAAAATCCCCTCTTAATAGGGAACTTTTAAGAAATTTTCAATGCTGGGGAACTGACACAAAAGGGCATTTTTCTTAACGTGACACAACTGACGGCAAAAACAAAAGGAAAGGGACCAGTATACACCAGTCCTTGCACATCAATCCTTACTTCCATGGAGCGGAGAGTGACATATAAGCCAGACAAAACAACGATCGTTCAGATCTTGGCACGTTTGCAGGAAAAAGATGCAAGCAAAACTGTCAAATCATTCGTCGTAGAATTTTCCCGCGAATTTCATTTCCTCGCTTTGCTGTAGTGCAAAAAAAATCGAACAGAGCCTACGACGACATATCGTCCACGTTTCGTAATAATTTTTCAATTATTCAAAATTTCGTCTATCAACTTGATGTTCGGTTTAAACCTACTCTAATGAGTGTCTAGATTAGTATGCCTCAGGGGTCTAATTCAAGGATTTACAGGATTTTGGGTCAGAACATTATGATAAAAATGATTTCGAACAAAGTAATCCATGTGCTCGGAGAAGCCCAATGGTGAAGCCCAGTATGCTTGGGCACAAAGTTAGTTATCCATAATCTCTATCTACGAAGTTCATTATTTTTATTTTGTTGTTTGTTCTCAGAGTGTTGTGGTGTTCCTTATCTCATTCAAAGAGATCCATCCCTGCGGTAAATAGCTGCAACATCTCTGCTAGGCAACATCTCAAGGGCGTGGAACAGGTTAGTGATTGGTTGTGACAGCAGAAAGGGCAGTCTATTGGTCAAAAAGTATCCATGCCAACCGGAAGTCGAGATTTGAGGGTATAAATGAACAGAATCGCGCTGTGTTAGCAGTTCGAGGCACAGAATAGAGATATTCTGTGTGGGAACATTGGTGCTAGGGCAGGTTTGGGCTGAGAACGCTGTGATCCTGTTCCAAGATGAAGGCCGTGTTGCTGTTTTGTGTCCTTCTTGGACTCGTCATTTCAACCAACGGTAGGTGCAGCCTTTCTTGCTATTATTTAGTAAAGACACTGGCGAAGAAAGATCCATGCACTCGTTTAAATTATTAAGATAGAGTTTTTTAACGATCGTTGGCGGGTCTGTTGGATGGTGCCTGTTAAATTGAATGTATAGCTGCTATACAGTAAATTATTCCTGGCTTCACTTGTAAGTTAAGGGAATTTTGGAGTAAAGCGCAATGTGTTTTCGTTAATTTTTTTAAAGCAAAGAGGCCACACCGATCGCTCTACAATCTGTGTTCTTATTAGCTATGTTACGTGCCGTATAAACCTTGATGCTGAAGTTTATTCCCAGACAATCATTGCTCAAAATACCCTATTTAAAGAAAGAATAGAAAGACTAGGTCAAATACTTTGCTTTGTAATACAAAGTTAAAACATCGTTTGAATATGCGGCTTTTTATCAAAGTGTTCACGTAAGAAAATTCCTACTTAGCAAATGCCATTGTGATCTTTTTAAGTAACAATCTTCAATAGTTAAGCTTACACCGGGATTAAATTAATCTTTTAGGTGCAACTGTCGAGGAAAACACCAACGAGGTGGCGGAGAAGAGTGTTCCGGAAGAGGTTGATGTAGAGGAAGATTCTGCAAGCGAAGAAGAGGAAGACCCAGAAGCTGAAGAGCCCTCTGAAGACGAGGAAAGTGATGCTACAGAACCGGAAGAGGACACTGAATTATCTGAACCGGAAGAGGACACTGAATTATCTGAAGGTACTATAGACTTTTAACTTTTGGTCTATAGTTCTTGGCACTTTTGTTGAAAACGACAAGATATGCAAATAGATATGCAAATATTCAATTCGATGTAAGGCTGGGCCGATCTTTGAGACGTTAAAATCGTGATTCCGGAATTGTCTTGGGCCCTATTGAATCATGCATATTTGAATCCACAGAGAAGCGTGTTAGCTACACGCTCAATTGACCGCAGATTCTCCTTGGGGCGTTTCTTTCCTTAACTTTTTAGGTCTTTCTTGATTTTTTTAAATGGTCTCGTTTAGACAATTCTGAGCAAATAGCAAAAGACGGCTCTGTATCAGATCCTGCATGGCGCAGACGGAGCTTCCGCAGAAGATCTTGGCGCCGACGTAGCTTCCGCAGAAGATCCTGGCGCAGACGTAGCTTCCGCAGAAGATCCTGGCGCAGACGTAGCTTCCTCAGAAGATCCTGGCGCAGACGTAGCT